AATCTGGATGGGGTACCTGGTGTAGCAGAATGCTGGGCTTCCACCCCCTGTTGCCTCTGCTGCCTCTTTTGTGGCTCTGATCTTTTGCTGATCAAGAGACCTGTAACCTGTTATGCACATCTGGAAAAAAAACTCCTGTTGGAGCCAATGGGAATTCTCTGCCTCATCCAATCTAACAATTAGAATGCGAAGAATGAAGAAGCTCACTCACCAACCTGCAGTTTGTAAATGACCTTTGCTTAAAGCTCATCATTAAAGTATTTCAGCTGGATACATACGGGCATCCTCTTCAACACCTCATGAAGTTTCTTCACTTGCATTTTAACATTATGCATCAATATTACCCTCCTGCTCCACTTGCTAGAAATGGAAAGAGGCATTGAAAGTCGTATCTTGCTGTGAAGGAGGTCAGAAGGAGAGTGTGCCGTCCCAAGAGAGAGAGAGAGGGAAGAGGGAGTAAGAAAACCCGAAGGTGCTGATGTGAAAACGGACTCAAAGGAGAGCATGATTAAGGAGGGGGAAAGAGCAGAACGAAGTGGGAAATTTGAAGTATGTCTGGTAGACAAGCACGGAAGCAGGAAGGGGGCGGAGCAGGAACTGCCACTTTGGGAAAAGAGAGTATAAGTAGCCAGGAAGAGCGCCAGTTTGAGGTAGAACTGGAGTTGTGGAAGCGCAAGAGAAAGTTGGAGAGGCTGAGAGAGTGTGAGAGGCTGAAGACCCAAGAGTTACTGCGTGATTTCCCTAACCTCAAGTTAGGAGGGCTGTTGCCCGACCCCGTCTCAAAGGAGGTGGGAGAGGTGCGACAAGAGACCTTAGAATGGTCAGTGATAGTCTTCCCCAAGAACAAGGGTAGAGGACGTCAGGTGATCTGCCCAGATTCCCAGTATAACACTCCTCCGCTCGAGGGGGACTGGGCTCGGCATCCATGCTGCGGCACCATTTGCACAGTGAGGAACGCGCCTCTTCGGAAGCCTCCTGATGTGGAGATGTTTGGCCCAGCACCCCTGTGAGTTCGGCTGATGTGGGACGAGAACTTGTATTAGACAGTTATGGCACGTTGCCGGAGTTAAGTTTATTTGACCCGATTATGAGTGGAATGGCCCAAGATGTACTTGTTAAAGTAAAGAAAACATCTCCTGTGATATTTCCCGCGCAAAATGAGGAGTTGCCAACATTCGAAGCTGAACCCAATCATACTTGCCAAATCAACCTGCAGAAATTCCAGTTCTGTTAACAGCTTAGTTCTTGCATAATTCCAAGTCACAGTTTGGAATCATATGAGTGAGTCTCAGATTTCTGGATTGTTTCCCCCAATGGCACACTGTCCAATGGCTTTCATGACTTTTTGTCTCTAGGCAAGTCTTAGTTTATATAAAACCAAATACTACTAACTCTTCTACAGTTGGGCACTACAACTTACCTATGCCAATAATTTTCTGACACAGCTGCCTGACAGATAGGTATCAAATATGGCATAGTTGCCTTCAGCCTTTTATAAAATAAGCTGCAGCCTGGTCCTTCTGTAATATTCTGTAATGAACCAAAGTACAGCTCAGAAATAGTATGCTATATAATAATGATAATAACACTGCTTGTAATATACCGCTTTTGAGGGTAATGAGGGAATAATAGCTTTATTTTTATGAAAAAAGTTAACACCTCACAACAATTATTTCTTGGTGCACTGAGCAATGTTTCCCCATTATTTCTTAGTATTTAAGGGGATTTTTCTACTTTTACACTTTTTTCTTTTCAAATTAAAAAGTGATGCATTACTAACATGTTAATAACCCCTTATTCATAAAGGAATAATCAATGTAGCATATCTTTTTTAAAGTAATGCTGCTACCTTTTCAAAATAATATTCTAAGTGCTTGGTCTATCAGATAAACATGAAGAGAACTTGGAGTAATTACAGTGGTGCCTCGCTAGACAGTTACGCCGCATGACAGTTTTTTCGCTAGACATTGACTTTTTGCGATTGCTATAGTGATTCACAAAACAGTGATTCCTATGGGGGAATTTTGCTGGACAATGTTTGGTCTCTGCTACGTGAACTGATTTTCGCTAGACAACGATTTTGACAGCTCCCTCTGCACTCGCAAAACGAGTGTTTTCAGGACCTAAGCTTCGCAAGACAGCTATTTAAACAGCTGATCGGCGGTTCATAAAGCGGCTTTCCTATGGCCGATCTTCGCTAGACAACGGCGATTCTTCCCCATTGGAATGCATTAAACAGGTTTCAATGCATTCCAGTAGGGAAATGCTTTTTGCTAGACAATGATTTCACTAAACAGCTATTTCAGTGGAACGGATTATCATCATCTAGTGAGGCACCACTGTAGTTATAAATAATGTACTTACCTGTAACTATTCTTTTGAATAATATAATTAATAATTACATTACTTTTCTGTACAACAAGTTACACCTGAGTTATTTGGCTGTAACAAGTAACACACATTTTACTTTCAAATGTTATTTCTAAAGGGCATTTTATGGCATTTTTGTCAGGAAATTTTTCAGTTTTTATCCCATTCTCTTATCAATCTCTTGGCAGCATTCTTTTGTATATTGGTAATATTTCTAAGGTTTGTTGTTGTTATATGCTGTTAGGTCGCCTCCAACTTATGACAACTCTATGAATGAGTAATCTTCAAAATGTTCTGTTGTCAACTGCCCTGCTCAGCTTTTGTAAACTCAAGCCTGTGGCTTCCTTTACAGAGTCAATCTATCTTACATTTCGTCTTCCTCTTTTCCTGCTGCTTTCAACCTTTCCCAGCATTATTGTTTTTACCAGAGCCATCAAACTGAGCAAACAACACCAAACTGAAGAGACAAAAGAGCCCCCCACAAAGCATTTCTGCCATATATCAAAGGGGTCACGGGGAAACTGTTGAAAAAAAAAAACAGCCTACAAACAGTATTCAGGCCCACCAGAAAAATACAACAAATGTAACAGTCAGCAAAGGACAAAAGGGATCCCCTCACCACTGCAGGAGTACACCGGATACCTTGCAGTTGTAGCCAGGTATATATTGGGAGCACAAAATGAAGCATCTAGACCAGAATCAAAGAACATGAAAGACACTACAGACTAAAACAATCGAAAAAATTGGCAGTAGCTGAACATACCCTGAAACAAGCTGGACATGAAATACTATTTCAAGACACAGAAGTACTGGAAGACACCAGCAATTATTATGTTTGACTACACAGGGAAGCCACTGAAATCCACAAACACGAGCACAGCTTCAACAAAAAAGAAGAAAGTCTAAAACAAAGCCTAGCTCCCAGCACTGAAAAATACAGCCTGCAAAAAGGTCAATGAACTCTAACCAGCCACAAGGACCGGTGATCACTGCACACAAAAGATTAGCCAATTGCACCAATCACAGTGACAGATCATCTCCCCACCTCTTATCACAGCAAAATATCCATAACAAAAAACACTCTGATCACAGGAAACACCCAATCTCCTGAAAAGAACAAAAACCTGATCTGACAGCTACAAATATTCAACAATCCCACACACTACACCAGAACACAGACAGAGTTCGAGCTCCTGATCACTGAAGATGCCGGCCACAGAGACTGGTGAAACATTAGGAAGAAAAACCTTCAGAACACAGCCAAACAGCCCCCCAAAAAACCACAATAAGCATCAGATTCTGACCATGAAAGCCTTCAAGAACTCGTTCCTCCTAGATACTTGCATAAAAGCTTTAAATTTCATCTCCTTCAGCATCTGTACCTCGAACATAACTTGAATATAGCCCCTAACTTGCCTATGTTATATCTCTCCTCAATATTAGAACCACTGCATTTCATCTGAGCTTGTCTTTTGCATGGTAGATCACTTTGCAGTTGTCTGTCTAAGAATATCGCATTCTGGTCCACTTTAGTTCACTGACACCAAGGACTGCAATGTTTATACGTTCCGTTGTTTGCTTTATGGTTCCCAGTTTACCTTGATTTATACTTCTCACGTTCCATGTTTCAATTGTGTGTTGTGCAGCACTGGATTTTATTTCACTTCTGTGCACATCAGCCACTAGACAACCTTTCAGATTTAATCTAGTTGCATCATTAACAACAGAGCTATTAGTATCCTTTGCTCTTTCCCAGTAGCTGACCCAGTGCTTTGTGACTTGGGAATCTCACCTGCCAGTGCCATCTTATTTCATTTTGGACTGTCCCATCATACGATTTTCATGATATCAGTAGTGGTTTATGATTATCACCACCTTCTGCACATTACTAACAGTTAGCTTGAGTGTTACTGCCTTTGCCTTCTCTGCTAGTGTCACCATCAGATATTGCTGCCACCTAGTAGCTGCCACCCCATCATCATTGGAACTATCCATTCTCTTCTGCTGAATCAGCTGCTACTTCTGAAGAGGGCAGATTCATCTTCGTCTGATGCCTCAGCTGTGACTATTCCTATCCCTGCTAGGAGTCCATGCTCATAATGGAGACTAACCTCTTGACAGCATTGCTCTTGGCTTCTCTGACTCACTCAAATCCCTCACTATGTTAAAAGATGCATCGAATAAGGTGATGAATTATTTCCATAACTGAAATTAGAGAAGTAATGAGCATTGTAGTGCAATGAGTTCCTTTCAAAATCTAACACTCCAGGCTCTAAAAGGAATTGCTCTTCAACTCACCAGCCATTTCAACTGAAAATTTAAACTATCCTACTACTTTGTCTTAATTTATCCAGGAATCGACACCACACCACACCACCATATGAAGAATTTGCTTTGTATAATACCAAAGTGTGTAACTGGGTGCAAAAGTACAATTTACTGATCTGATAAATATTTCATTTCTTTAAGTCCCACTGAGGACCCCCTAGTTGAGATGCTGATTTTGCAACTACAAGCAGTCCACTTCTTATTCACTCCTCATTCAGTATATGACCTGACTCTGAACCTCAGTTTGGTGCCACAAAACGGACCATTGTTCAGTTGTGCCTAATCTACATAGCGTTGCATACCTTGCCCTTCTCCTGCTGATATTCCACCTGGATGTTGGTCAATTTAATCCGCAGTTCTTCATGAGTAGCTTGGACAGCTTCAACTTCCATATCACTTTTTTCTCCCTTTGTATGGCTCTTCTTCAACATAGCTCAAATGTACATTATATCAATTGCCAAGCAGTTTGGCACACTGAACATTAAGATAGCCCTCAGTGCTGTCACGATCAATATATTTCATGCTCTAGAAGAAACAAAAATCAGAAATTGCTGTTAACTATTTGGCTAAAGAATAGATCAAATATATATTCTGCTTCAGAATATCCTATGGCAGAGCAGAACTAGAATCCATTCCCATCCATGCTCAGAGCTTTAGAGTGCACCATAAATGAGATTAATTTTAAGGAAAAGTTAGAAGGTTTCAATTTACTCCATGGTCATAAATGACTGTTTAGTTTGGGTGAGTTATCTCCATTGTGTATGTGTGTGTGTGTGTGTGCGCGCGTGCGTGCGCATGCGTGCGTGTGCACGGACATGCACACATAATGGAGATAACTCACCCAAATTGAACAGACATTTATGACCATGGAGTAAATTGAAATTGAGCATGGATGGGAATGGATTCTAGTTCTGCTTTGCCATAGGATATTCTGAAGCAGTCAAAGGTTTCTGTAACTGTTATGGAAGCAGACAATTTGAAGCACTGCTCGGAACTTCACCAAATAAGTGAAATATTGCCTTTCTTGAAAAATCTGGAATTTTCACCATTATTTGAAATACATATCATTGTTGAAAAATTGGGGTATATTGGTAAATATGTCAAGTTTATGCACTTCATGGTTAAAATCTTGTTGTGCAGTTTATGCAAATAGCATACAGTAACTCTGAAATGTGAACTGTGATACGAAAACTCTGTAGCCATTATCTGTATGCAACAGATAATGTCTAGAGATATATTAGCTTATGGCAATTTCCTTCTGTTGCATAACTGCAACAGGACTTCAGCAATTCATTTCCTTCCAGTTTTACCAGCTCAATTTGAAATTTGACACAATTATAGATCTCATTAAGTAGAGTCTGAGCCCTAGTATGAGAACTGAACTGAACTCAGTTCTTTCACATAAAGTCTACTCCTATGACTTCAAACTCTTTTGTTTGGTATCCTAATTTAGATAGAACAGGGTTTGTTTTTTTGTTGCAATTGTTAAATACTGTAATGGGAAACCAAAAAGACTTGCTGATCTCCTGCACATCAACCAGAGATCTACTGGTAGGTCCTGACCTATCTTCAGCCCACTCTTAGACTACAGTAGTTTGATATTATTTACACTGACAGACAATAGTTTTCTATATTTTCACGCAACCTTTATTTCCTTAGTCCTCCATAGAAATGCTAGAACTTGATCTTGGAACTTGTTGCATGGAATATGTTAATCAGGCTATCTATACAGGTTTGTTCACATAGTCACAATTGTTGTATTTTTTATGACTACTGTATTGTTTCGACAGTTTTCTGTATCAGTCCCTCTAATTTCAATCTGCACTGGCTGTGTACATTCCCCCCCCCCCAGGTTTGGCTTAGACAAAAGCTTTCCTCCAATGCATAAGTGCTAATCTGTCTGTCTATGCTGATATGTCCTTGTCACCCACAAGTGACCTTTCAGTAACTCTTCACTAGGCACAGTCAAAAATTATAAAAACATTGACTGGTATTATATAATAGATACAAGTTTTAACCAAAAACCTAAGTATCTGCTAAATATCAACACAATGTGAATGCTGTTCCTAATATTGCCATTTTCTGTAGATCTGATGGTGTGATTTCTGAGAATCTGCAACTGCTTATAGTACTGTGTGAAATTTCTTGATATTGTTCCCAAAGCCCCAATGACTACGGGGACCACTGAAGTGTGTTTCTTCCAGAGGCGAAATGTTTCAATTGCCAGGTCTCTGTACTCTGTTTTCCCAATTCTGTATTTTCAACTCTGGCATCCCCTGGAATTGCAATGTCAATGATCCAGACATTTCTTCATTCTATTACTACTATGTCTGATGTGTTATGTTCAACTTGTCTATCAGTTTGGATCTGGAAATCCCACAAGATCTTGACTTCCTCATTTTCTGACACCTTCTCTACCTGGTGTTCCCACGGGTTTTTGGAGGCTGGCAAGTTATATTTTTTGCACAATAACCAGTGCACTAACTTTGCCCCTCCATGACCACAGGCCTTGTGAGGTGGAGGGGCTTGCGTGCTTCAGTGAGGTTGAGAGCTATGCTGAAGGGTCTCCCAAGTCAGACAGGTGAGAAGCCAGACCAATGGTGTCCACCAACCATCAATTACGATGAAAGGAAATAAACAGAAACCCATACCAGATCGGTCATCGTCCAGATCAAAAAGGACCATGTCAGATGCTATAGCCCCTGGGCATCTGGTGACAAATGGGTTACAGGGCTCAGGAGAACCTGTTGTGGAGCCAGGACAGGCTGCTGCAAAGCTAC